TCTCAAGAGAAGAGTTTATAATTTTGTCTTTTTTTTTGTATTGACCTCGTTTGTTCTCATCAGGATCATTCTTTTGTGTACCGTGTCCCTTTACTGACTTAAGCGATCATTGCTCTCCACATCTTCCTGTCCCTTGTAGCTCTTAATAAGTTTTATCTTTTGATATTTCTCCCAGACCGTGTTCATAAATCCATTTATATTTACATTCGCTGTATTCCTGATATTTGTTGGAATTTTTGGGTACTTTGGTGTACTAGTGAGCTAAAATGAGCTGACTCATTTTATAGTCCACCTAGAGAAAGGTTAACCAATCAGAAAGCTCAAAATATTCAATGCGACGTGTATAAAGGCAGCCATTTTGTTTTTTCTCCCCAAATATCTTCACTGCCAACCTCTGATATCGAAGACATAAAGAATTACTTAACAGCTGCTACTTTCTCCGAATCTTCACTGCCAACCTCTGATATTGAACACATCACGTACTTCACTGGATTTTATATTCAAAGTCTACGGCAAACATGGTTAACAATATTGAACACTTTAACCCATATATTTTATATATATATATATATATATATATATATATATATATATATAGGAAGAAATATCGTTTGACAGTGTGCTATATTTATGGGATAAATTGCTCAATATCAGAGATAGAGCGTGCGTATGTAAATATAAATATAAAAGTGAACATTGAAGATGGCCTGACGATTATGTCTAGCATGAAACAGCCTGTCGCCTCTGAGTGATGACTTCACTGTTCACTTATATATATATATATATATATATATATATATATATATATATATATATATATATATATGTGTGTGTGTGTGTGTGTGTGTGTGTGTGTGTGGTAATTATCGTGTTTTCAAAAAATTGGAGTCGTGGGTCAAAATTGTCTCATTTAATAAATGTCTAAGCTATGCATTCAGTCATTGGCTTTAAATTGTACAGATCTTTAAAGCTATTCTAAGTAAGATATCTCTTATCTCCGTGTTCTATAAATGAGACTTAGGTTAAAGTTTGTTGAGTTCAACATATAACATATAAGCAATCATTAATCAATTTTATATACATTTATACGCACGCTGTGTTTAAGTTGCAATATTGTTGAAATAGTAGAAATCTGACGAACCCATATAACAGATGAACAAACACACACTCTGTTAAAATATCAACTAATAGCCGACAGAATAATTTTAACAGATAAAAAAAAAATTAATATAAACTAAAATAATAACGCAATCAAAAAACATAATGATTTTGCAAAGAACTGTTGGCGGCAATGTTTCGCTGCTGGAAACTTACTGCTCTGTCAGAATAGCCTTTGAAGTCGTCAACGACTGAAAACGTCCTCTGTGTCTTGCTCCTGGCTACAGCAGAGTAGACAAATAGACGCGATTTTCTTTATAGGTCTTCGTTTCCAGACTCCATGCAAGCAAGTATTTCGTCGATGCGCCATTTTCGAATGGGAACCATTATTCTGAAAAGGTTTTGAAGTGGTCACATGCAGTTATTGCCCGGGTCTTCCTGGAACCATTCAAACCGGTTACATTAGCCGATCTTGTCTAAACACGTATGTATGCGTGTTGCACGTATAAACGTATCTATCTATCTATCTATTTGAAAGTGGTCATATCTATCTATCTATCAATCTGTTGATAACTCTGTGTGTGTATATATATATATATATATATATATATATATATAGTATTTTGAGACATTTTTATGTTTATACATTCTTTTTATAGATACAAATATTTAAGTAAATACTCTGTTTATAATAAACAGTATTAAACAACATTTACCGGCCTGAATGTCCGAGAAATTTTCACAGAAAATATTTGTCCTCCGACAGGATTCGAAACTGTATCGTATATGGAACCGTATCGTATCTGAAACTGGTCAGATCTATCTATCTATCTATCTATCTATCTATCTATTAAAACTATCAATCTGTTGATAACTCTCTATCTCTCATACTGATATATATATATATATATATATATATATATATATATATATATATATATATATATATATATATATCAGTATGTATGCTTCTGTCTTTCTATCTATCTATCTATCTATCTATCTATCTATCTATCTATCTATTTCAGTATGTTTACATCTATCTATCTGAAACTGGTTAGATCTATCTATCTATCTATCTATCTATCTATCTATCTATCTATCTATCTGTATGTCTGTTCATCTGGACGCGGGGTCGATTTGCTTAGAACCTTCGCTTTCCTATCTTGAGACCTCCGTTCTGATCTCACTATACTGGGTTTGTCAAGCAGGTGTTTTCTTGATGTTGTCAGTGTTGCTTGACCATCCCATTCGAAAAGTGCATGAAAACCATATCACGTGTTGACTCAAGACTAATGAGCGAAAATGGGTAGGTGCAAATGTTCAGAAGTACTCCAAGTTTGTGCTTGGACGAAGATACAAGTCATCGTGACAGAGAGTTTGAGCGTTCAAACTTCTGATAATGACAGATTACGCAATCTCCCCCAGAGACCAATTTTCGACTATCATAGTCGTATTAGAAAAGGCAGATGATCTATATGGGTGTTAAACAAACAGAGCTGAGCCTGAACAGGCGTCTGCGACAAGGATTGGATAGCCGCCCTAGGATAATACAATAGGTATCACTTCCTATAATGTACGACTGACCAGCATATATAAATAGTCGAGCCAAATGGGCTGAATATTGCGTTCAAGCCTGAAACTGACTATCATCTGTCGGTGTTGACCCCACTTCACCGGAATGAAAACAAATCAATATAAACATGCCTCATGGAAAGCTGTCACACGTAGGTTCCGTTTATTCATTAGAGCCGGTTGAATGTGGTCGAATTATGTATTCTCTCTCTTATACGTATGCAAGAGTACAGGCACATATTAAAGCCCAATAAGGATATACAGTATACTAATTTGGACTGTTGAACCACCACTGATACTAGATTGATAAATTTGTTTTATAAAGATTATCATCCATTGGCAGGTTATTTAAGGCGGGAAAATATCTTTATATGGCAAAAATACTTTAGAGATGATAACGATATTTACTGATAAAAATTTGGTTAATTAACTCATATCTGGGTGGATTTATACATTTCTCAAATGTATTGGCGCGTAAATAAATATAACGAACCCGATTAGAATTGGAACTCGGATCTCTGTTTTCCAATTCCGAGCTGTTATCCATTACACCACCCACACATCCTAGCTTACAACAACTGCAATTCCCATGCGGCTACTCATTTAGGTACTGACACGGCTCGACATTGATTAAATTGATTCCAAATAAAAATAATTAAAAAGAACTCCGGATTATAAATTTTACTGTCCTTTTCTTTATTTTATTTTATATATATATATATATATATATATATATATATATATATATATATATATATATATATATATATATATATATATATATATTGTTACGGGACCTTACCAATAATAACATAATGGACTATTCCATACGTAATACATACTACGCCTCAAGAGGAAGAAGGGAGTCTGTCAGTCAGTCAGAGCGAGTCAGTCAGTCGAGTCAGAGGCAGTCCGAAACAGAGTCGCGTTCAGACAATTTACTTCTAAACCTGATTGTTCGTACTAACACTTTCTACTTCTCTGTATATATTCCAGTTTGTAATATATCTGTGTTATTCCATATACGTGTTCGTGTTCTTCTTTATTGGTTCTACCCTGGACCATCACCGTGGTACAAGGACCTGGACCATAACATATATATATATATAGGACCATAACACATATATATATATTTTTTATAGATACAAGTATTTAAGTAAATGCTCTGTTTATAATAAACAGTATTAAATAACATTTACCGGCCTGAATGTCCGAGAAATTTTCATAGAAAATATTCGTCTTTTGACAGGATTCGAACCTGCATCTTATACGGAACCGTCATTTACGCTGACGTGCCTTACCGATCGGCCACAAAGGAGCGTTCGAATTTACTGCTTATAAACTTCAATCTTCCATGAATCTCGTACATTCATAACTGCTCTGGCGTATCAAATGTAAACAAATGACGTCATATATTAAGAAATGGACAAAGTCCGACAATTTATTTATTAAAGACATTTTTATGTTTAACGTTCTTTTTTATAGATACAAGTATTTAAGTAAATGCTCTGTTTATAATAAACAGTATTAAATAACATTTACCGACCTGAATGTTCGAGAAATTTTCATAGAACGCTCCTTTGTGGCCGATCGGTAAGGCACGTCAGCGTAAATGACGGTTCCGTATAGGATGCAGTTTCGAATCCTGTCAAAGGACGAATATTTTCTATGAAATACTTGTATCTATAAAAAAGAACGTTAAACATAAAAATGTCTTTAATAAATAAATTGTCGGACTTTGTCCATTTCTAAATATATATATATATATATATATATATATATATATATATATATATATATATAAAAACATATATATATATATATATATATATACATATGCATACTTACGCATATTTATGATGAAGGAGAGCATTTTGAACATGTTGAATAACTCGTTAATCATAACAAATCATGTCTTGATGTAACAATACTAAAATATTAAGTGTTAATAAGCAAAAAGAGGCCTTTCCTTTGGTGCAATGTGTATACGTAGATATTGTTTTTGAAATTCACTCGAAAACTCACTCAAGTTAAATACGTGCACAGATTTTAGATTTTAGAAGACTTGTTTATTACTAACAAAGCCCAGACTTAAGTGTACGTGTACACGTGTATTCGCGTCTGTGTGTACATATGTACGAATACGTATACCTATCTACGCACGCGAATAAATGTGTACAAGTCCGTAGACACAAGCGTATAATCAGAGACATATGCACATAAATTCTAGGAATAAGAAATAAATTTAATTATAAATGTACACTCCTGCAATTAATACAACAAACTCAATTAAAAAACGAATAATGACCCAATGAATATATATTAATATGCGTGTGCATATCTATCTATCTATCTATCTATCTATCTATCTATCTATCTATCTCTCTCTCTCTATATATATATATATGTATATATAAAGCCTAAGCACATTAATATCAGTTATATAAAAACGTAAGTAATCGAAATACAATTTCCCAAGCAAAAAATAAACAAATGAATAAATAAAATAAAATAAACGAATAATTTGCTATGAATAAAAATGATTAAATGAATGACCAAAAGTAGGTCACGTGTCTAGAAACGGAATAAAAGCAGACTAAGTCTGGTACAGAGAAAACAAAAAAAAAAAGAAAGAAAAAATACGTAAAAAAAAAATGGCAACATCACATTGACGCACATTCGTGCAAACCGGAGCAAACAAACGCGCGGACAAGGGCACCCCAAGAAACAGAAAATACACATGAATATTTACACCCGTGTTTTAAATGTGTATAAAAAGAAAAATTGAAAAAAGAAGCCATAAATTGGTGATACCCACTGAGGAGTGGACCAACAATGAAGGAAACATCAACCAGCAAAATGTCGAATTTTACTCAGATTAATCTATATATATATATATATATATATATATATATATATATATATATATATATATATATATATATATAATATATATATATACAAAATCATATATAATATTATCATAACTATATTATATATATTGTAAATCACTTTAATATATCTATGAAGGTATCTACATATACCAGTGTATATATTTTTATTCTGAATGTATGCTTCCACCTCCGCCCGGAGGTAGAGGCACACTCATGCAAAAAACATATGTTGTAAAGTATGTTAAAATAAACACATGGATAAATTAACTGCTAAGATGATTAACGGATATATATATATATATATACATATATATATATATGGTGACCCCAAAAACGGGAACTTTTTAACACACCAATAAAACCAAGACTGATGGAAGAAAAATATTTTATTCATAGTAATTGATACCTTAAAACATGCCATTTAAGAAACAATGATGAAATTTTCATTTTTTAAAAATGACGTCCTGTAGATGGCGTCCTCCTGTACGAATGCATTCTTGAAATCTGCTGTTGAGATTCCTCATTAACTGCTGCAATATCTCAGCTGGGATACTGTGAATTTCATCTTGAATTCAAAATGGCGATATGTTTACTTGCTCAAGGTCACTGTCTTGCAGTGTTGCCACTTGCTCATGTCTGGCAATACGCACTTAAAAATTCCCGTTTTTTTTGGGTCACCCTGTATATGATTGAATAAAGCATCAGGATACGTATTTGTTTATGCGTCGTTGTCCATTGACGTAATATTTGCATTTACAAGCGCAATGAAAAAAAATTACGGTAATGGATAACGACAGCACATCCTTGTATAAATACTTGCAGTAATGAACATATTGTTTTGTATTAATTGCACCAATGAAGATGATCCTGGAAGAACATCGAAAGTACTTGGGAAATAAAAATAGCGAAAAAAAATTAAACAGCTATAGCACATTTCTATCATACTTTAACATCAGTAAACGCAAGATTATTCGTGAGTACGAACGGATTTTGTTAAAAATTAGCATACATAAAATCTGTAATTTATTCAAGCAGACATGACTAAGAGAGAATTTTGTGCCCAAATATACTATATATATATATATATATATATATATATATATATATATATATATATATATATATATATATATTTCAATTGAGCACTGTTGAATGACAAGCTCATTCTAAAATCAACGGTCAACTGCGTAAAGGCGAAGCTCTTCAGTAAAATGAATGGAACAATAATCTTCATTTGGCTGATTCGTTCTATAGAGTGAATATGGCTCAGTGGTAGAAGCTCTAACAGAAACCAAATTGGTTGGGTTTCGAACCGAGCTTGCGGTATTCGGTTGTCTCGCTACAATGAGGAACTATGATACAGCGAAACAATACTGTCTGCGAATTATATACATATTATATATATATATATATATATATATATATATATACATACACTGTGTGTGTGCATCACACTCGAGTTCCATACACTTCAACTTTGGTGGGCAGTGTTTTAACCGAACTTGTCAAATGCGACACCGAGATACGAACATGCAATTGACGTATTCTAAAAGCTATCCAAGAAACTGAGAATCAGGAAATGTTTCTGGAGTTGCTACGTGATTTCCATTCTCTTTTGTGGTAGTGAATGCCGGACACGAATGAGAAGAAAACTGGAGCAAAATGCGATTCTACTGAAGGCTACTGAAAATATCATGGATGGAGCGAGTCAACAAAGAAGTCGTAAAGAAAATGCCAATAAGAAAATGAACTCCAAAATTACTTCCTCTTATAATAAGGAAAGAAGTCTTGGAAAACTTAACCCTTACGGGTTGTATGAGATGCAAACTGTAATGGTTAACAAGCTTTCTGGGACTATTACAACTAAATAGTGAGACTTTGTCGCCAGTCTAGTACAGCGCTTAAATTCAAAGAGTCTAGGCACCATAGCGAATAGTTTATCCAAACAATTACCATGAAAGTGTATATATATATAAGGGGGGGAAGGGAAGCAACCTTACGGCAGTGGCAAAGAGATTTAAGCCGAGATGCCAGAACCGGGTCAATAATATAACTAATTCTTCTCTGGATTTTATGCTGGGGTTATGATTTGGTGAGCTATAGGCAAATATTTTTTTATCCTTTCTCCCGACTAAAGTCATTTCATTCACTTCCACTTCCAGTAACCCCTTGCGTCTTAGTGGCATTGTTGCCTTACTCGGGATAAAATGAATGAAAAAAAGAACCGCGTCAATAATATAACTAATTCTTCTCTGGATCTATCACTGATCATGCTATCGGCCATCTAATCAGCGCTCAGAAAATCACCATACTCAGCTGAGAGGCAGGGGAAGACAGCGAGCCACTTAACTGACGTGATTCTGTGAACAGATTGCGGAACGGTGGACGAAGAACAGGAGCAAAAGGAGAAAAATTGCTAAGAGCAAGACGAGAGAAGAAGTTGTAGAGAGCCATGATCGCCTATGTCCCCTAAACACGCTAGTCAGTGATGACTTTGTTTCCATAGGAAGTAGGTTATTCACGGTATCTGTATGATAAACCGGTTTTGAAGTCAATGTTATCCTTCTTGAATAGTTACCAACCCAGGCTTGAGATCCCAGTTTGCCCTACAATTTACCCACAGCCAAGGGAGATAAATGCTTAGAAGGTGAAAGATGTTTAACTAATGGCCATATCTATATATGACCTCATCTTTTCTTGAGGAAGGATGTATACTGAATGGTTCGATTCATTAATAATAATGTTTTTTTTAGATTCAATCTAAATGAACTTCTTAGAATTAACGGCGACTAGACTTACAAATGGTTGGAATGTTGTCTCATTTTGAAGTGATGATATCTCCTTGCCGTTGGCAGTGAATTTTCCTCCTCTAAGCGACATATGATCCAAAAACAACTGTGTGTCGTGGTATGTACTACCATCTTTTACAACATCGTCGCATTACCAATTTAAATGCGTTTTGTCGATGTTTAATATCCTATTGATTACACACACACACAAACACACATATATATATATATATATATATATATATATATATATATATAGAGAGAGAGAGAGAGAAGAGAGAGAGAGATAGAGAGAGAGAGAGAGAAGATAGATTGTAAGAGAGAGAGAGAGAATTTCTCGGTTAAATCAATATCGGTCGAGACAAGAATTTGATCTATCTATCTATCTATCTATCTATCTATCTATCTATCTATCTATCTCAAACTGTTCATTATCTATCTATCTATCTATCTATCTATCTATCTATCTATCTATCTATCTCAAACTGTTCATTATCTATCTATCGTTCAGTCTATCTATCTATCTCCCCCAGACAGCTCATATATATCATAATCTATTCATTATTCGTCTTTTCTTTTCTCTCTCTCTCTCTATCTACCTAACTCTCACAGTATATTCATATCTATCTATCTATCTATCTATCTATCTATCTATCTATCTATCTATCTATCTATCTATCTCAAACTGTTCATTATCTATCTATCTATCTATCTATCTATCTATCTATCTATCTATCTATCTATCTATCTATCTCCCGCAGACAGCTCATATATATCCTAATCTATTCATTATCCGTCTTCTCTCTCTCTCTTTCTCTCTCTCTCTCTCTCTACCTAACTCTCACAGTATATTCATATCTATCTATCTATCTATCTATCTATCTATCTATCTATCTATCTATCTATCTCCCACAGACAGTTCATATCTATCACGGTCTATTCATTATCTACCTATCTATCTCCATCATTCTGTTTCTATCTAAGTTCATGTCTCTTTATTATTATAATCCATTCTTGAAAAGAAACCATACCAGCAACTGCCAAATCTTCCATTTTTTAAAAAATACTCTTCCGTTTGTTTTCATTATGGCCGGATCAGCTTTTGAAAGTCTTTCAACAATTTCTGAATATTCATTGCCACACCAGGACATCGTTATTTCGAAAATTCCTGTTGCGTTCTTAATGCTTTTGATAGCATTGTTGGCGATAGAGATGAGTTAGCTCCCCTGCCAGCGCACAGTCTATGCCTTTATATGTGGCTTAATATTAAGAGGAAACACGAAAACAAACAATAAAATAAAATAAAATAAAAAATAACAGAAGCTGCGTTACTGTTTTTCTTAAGCCTGCGTTCAGATTTTATTAAGTCCATTTATAAATAATAAAAGTAAAAGGACTATTTTGGGATCAACAATAAATATTATGAACTGAATAATCATATTAAATATTTCTAGAAAATTTATGTCTGCTGTCACTATCAGATTATACAAATGAGAATGTATTATCCAAATGTCTCTCGGAAAGTAAGGACTTTTATTGTATTATGTGGGCCCAGAACGTCAGATGTGGATGCTGGGGTTATGGCAGGAAGGATTGAGCTCTCCAACACATATATTTTGGCTTTGTTTAAACAAAATGGTGGCTGACATGAAAATGCGTACCATATAACGGTGTCTCGTTTAATTCATCCGATATGAATACAATGCATGGCGCCAAACCAGTTCAGAGATGTCTAAACTCTCAGTTCAATAGAATAGCTTCCGCAAATCAATGGTTATTGATCGATTGAAGGGTTCGTTTTTTACGGCTTATCAACACTTTTCAGGCTATTTAAAGCCAGAAAATATTTTTGTATTGTACATATGTTTGGAGATACCAATACACGTTTTAATTTTTAACTTATTAATACACGTTTTACTTATTAACACATAGCTGGGGTATTTGCGCGTAAGTCTATAGAACGAACCCAACGAAAATTGGAACTCGGTTATCAATTAACAATTCACAGCTAATATTCATTACACCAGCCATACGCCAAAGATTACAGCACCTGGTATTTCTATGTGTTCTTGAGGAATTACTATTATTTTATTAGTCAATTAAACAGTCCGTTTTTTACGGTTTATCAACACGTTGCAGGTTATTTTAGAGACAGTTAAATAGATAAATGGATGCGATCAGACTGAGATAGACAGACAGAGAGACAGACAGACAGACAGACAGACAGACAGATAGATAGATAGATAGATAGATAGATAGATAGATAGATAGATAGATTCGTTTTCTACGGTTTATAAACTTATTGAAGGTTATTTAAAGCCAAAAAATATTTTTAGATTTGGTGAGTGGCGGGGAGATAATAATGCTTTAGTGATACAGGTTTTAATAATTAACCCATAGGTGGGGTAGATAAAAGCTGTATTCATAACTTTCAGAAGTGCATTTATGCGTAAGTGAAGATAACAAACCCAACTGGAATTCGATCTCGGCTCGCTGATAACAATTCCGAGCCATTATCTATTACACCACCCGCACGTCAAAGCTTTCAACATCTGGTGTTCTCAGGCGATCACCTATCTAGGTTGCTTAACTTTGGTGATCGTTTGAGAACCTGTGTTTCAACGTGATTTGGCTGTAAGCAAATGGTTATAAATGACTGAAGCCTGTAGGTCTTAGCGTAGAACACCCTTGGTCCGATCTTGGAGACTTGTACTGTAGAATCTCAAAGAGAGAATTGTACCAAATATGTGAAACCACATCACTACAACGCTTCCAACAGTAGCAATAACTAATACCATTTGTTACTCGAAGAGAAAATAATGATATAAACATAAAGATGACTTTCCACACAGCCATAAACAAAGCGTTCGGAGGGAAACTTCCTTCAATACTGAAAAAAAAAAGCGATAACAGTTAGTGGATTTGAAAAAGCAGAGTTTCCTGAAAAATTGTTTTAAGAGAAAGATTTTTATAAATTTCAGACAACAGTAACATTGGCTATTGGTCAATGAATTCCGAATGTTTCCTTATAAGGAAACAACTAATAATACTGTTGTTATTATCGGTTAGTAAATAATTACAACTATTGGCACTGTTGTAACCTAGAAAAGGTTTACTGAATGAGAAATAACTAAAACGGAGACTGGAAATGAAATGGTAATTTTTATAACATCACCAAAATACAAGACTCGCCAACGTCGTGATGTAGATAATCCACTGCTAGTGATGGGCTACTTAGACAGCATATTACCCTCACTTACAATAGTGTCCAACGTATTTTTGAGGATTGGGACATAACCATTAGGCCCGTAAGTACGGTATATGACTTAAACTTATATCATTGATCGAATTTCTTTCTTTCTTTTCTTTCTTTCTTTCTTTCTTTCTTTCTTTCTTTCTTTCTTTCAACTGCATTCTCTCTTTCATTAATTCTTTTCTATTCCTTTATTCCAATCACTTTCCCTTACATTTCTTTCTTTCTTTCTTTCTTTCTTTCTTTTGTAACCTAGAAAGGGTCATTGAATGAGGAATAGGCAAAACGGAGGTTGGAAATGAAATGGTAATCTTTATAACGTCAACAAAATACAATAGTCGCCAGTGGCGTGAAGTAGATAATCCACTGCTAGTGGTGGACTACTTAGACGGCATATTACCCCCACTTACAATAGTATCCAACGTATTTATGAGGATTGGGACATATCCATTAGTGTTCATAGGCACGGCATATAACAGGCATTCATCGAGATTTTTTATGACGACCCCAAAATGGATGTAAGGTGGGCAGTGTGTAAATCGATTCAGCTGTGAAATGAAGAGCGCCTCGAAACTGCACAGTCGATTGTGATGATATTTTTTTTCTTATTCACTCAGTGGCTTACGGCAACATCAGGTTGAAACACCGCTTCCCATACGACCACCGAAGTAAAACAATGTCGAGCCTGGTCTGATTAGTGACCGCTTGGGATGTGCAAGTGGAGTAATTGATAATGGCTGGGGATTGTTAATCGGGGAGCCGTGTTCCAATTCCGGTTAGATTCGTTGTATACACTTAAGCACCTATATCCTTGTGAATGGCATGAATCCAGCTCTTCTGTTTGCTATTAATTAATAAAATTTCTATCACTAAATATTTATTATCTCCAAGCAAATTCCTTCGATCAAAAATACTTTCTGACTTTAAATAACCTGTAAAGAGTTGATAATCCGAAAAAAACGAATTAATCAATCAATCATGTTTACACAATACAAAGGCGCTCAAGGTAGCGCTATACTGAACGGGGTTGTTTCATAGAATTGTAGATTATGAAGGTATCTAGGATAAATACCGTTTACCATAGGCTTGCAGAAGTAAAATTATAGTGATGGTGGAAGCATTCACTTGGGAGTTTGTTCTAGAAAAACAGCAGATCTTGTTCCTGAAATTGTCTGAAATATAAACTCCAAGAAATAAACGTGTGAAGAACGTCTACACAAACGTTATCGAATCAATCTTCAAAAACGTCAACATACAAATTGACTACTGTGGGTTAGTTCGAAATTCAAACAAATATGACCTGATGATGATCGGAGTGTACAACGGCCGAATGTGACAGTAAAGATGAGGGCAACAGCTCGAACAATGTAAATAATGTAAATAGTTACAATGCCTCATCTCAGAAACATAGACTGTGAATATGCCAATAAAGGTGAGAACAATGAAAATAGTGTAAATAGTGACAAGACCTCATCTTAGAAATATAAGCTGTGAATATGGCAATAAAGATTAGGGCAACAGCTCGAAAAATGTAAATGTAAATAGTTACAATATATCATCTCATTTTTGTGATGTCAACAAACACTCATTGCCACTTTTGTGATGTCAACGAATACACGTTGTCACTTTCGTAAATTCTCGTTGTAGTAAAGACTTTGTAATTGCAGATATAACTATAGTACGCCGTTGAACAGTACTGGTGTCAGACGCCCTCGAATAACCCTCGCACTAATAGTACTTGCTTGATAATAGTCGCTCGAACAGTAATACGTATAGTGATCCAAATAGAGGAATAATATTGTGAATAGAGTAGAGAATAGATATGCGAATAGTAATAGAGGATAGAGTAGAAACAGCGATCCGAATAGTAATAGAGGATAGAGTAGAAATAGCGATCCGAATAGTAATAGAGGATAGACTAGTAATAGCGATCCGAATAGTAATAGAGGATAGACTAGAAATAGCGATCCGAATAGTATTAGAGGATAGACTAGAAATAGCGATCCGAATATTAATAGAGGATAGAGTAGAAATAGCGATCTGAATAGTAATAGAGTATAGACTAGAAATAGCGATCCGAATAGTAATAGAGGATAGACTAGAAATAGCGATCCGAATAGTATTAGAGGATAGACTAGAAATAGCGATCCGAATAGTAATAGAGGATAGAGTAGAAATAGGGATTTGAATAGTAATAGAAGATAGAGTAGAAATAGCGATTTGAATAGTAATAGAGGATAGACTAGAAAGGTCGATCCGAATAGTAATAGAGGATAGACTAGAAAGACAGGTCAATTAGACGTCACGACACCTCCCATATATGCATTTCCTCTATGGTCACGTGGTCTACTTAATTCAATAATGGAATCGCCTGTGTTTGCTCACTGGCGATCTATATTCAAACTCAAATATCGGCAGCGACACTTTATTCCTCTATGACAGAAATATAGACAATATGATATTTAAAATTTCATGGAATCTGATCGGCAGGATTCCAACAAGATTATGTAATGATGTTATGATTTATTCTTTATGGTTAAAACAAAAGTATTAATCAAAATGTCTCACTATTATGGCATTGTGTCTAAAATGTACCCGCCGAGAAAATTGTGTGGAGACTGAGTTACACTGGTGGTGGTAGAGACGACTTTTCTCATACAATCAGAAACCGTCTTCCGCTCTCAGCTGTAAACAGACAGACGAAATATATTGATCGACAAAGAAATATATGCCTGTTGAAAACCCCAAAACAATGATTTCAAAGCTCGTCAGGAGTACGACAAAGAGAAAATGCTAGTGTGAATCACTTTAATCTTTCTGTTAGACGATGTCTGGGACATTTATAAAGAAGTATGTGATGATTGGATCAAGAACATTCGAATATACATTATTTCATTCCATATTAACAAGTGATACCAGGTGATGGGATCTTGGATGTACAAATGGTATGGCTTACGACCATATCACGTTGACAGACCGGTCCTCGTACGATCACCGAAGTTAAGCAACATTGACCCTGACCAGTACCTAGATGGGTAACCGCTTCAGAATACAAGGTACTGTGAGTTTTAATATGCGAGTGGAGTAATCGATAATGACTCAGAATTTTTTGTCGAAGTGCCGAGTTCCAGTTCTCGTTATTTTCTTTATATTAACTTATACGCCTTTCTTAAGAGAAATCAAGATATGCATTTGGTATGGGAAAATTGATGGATGACTTCTTCTACGTGTCCCTTCAGGGCGTAGGCGATAATGGTTCTCCTCAAATTCCTGTCTTTTGTATTTTGTTATTGTTGTATCCTTAAAGAGGTTACCAACAGACAAAGGTGGTACTTGAGTGAAGGAACAGCAACACGCGCATAGACGAAAGAAGAGAGGTTTATTGTAAAAGAGAATATACTACTGAAAGACAGGAAATCGGGCGGTAGGCTAGTGATTCCCCAGGTATATCCTGTGCTCACTATATATCGCTACTGATATCGTCAGCCCACATAGGCGATAGGGAGTGTGTGACATTTCCATCACGACAGTTATCTCTCGTAAAACTTATTCCGTCATCGATTTACCCAAGGAGCTGATGCGTTGTTTCGCTCTAATAATAAAAAAAATTATATCACTCCACAATTTCAACAACAAAAATGACACATGTAACTAGAAGAGAATATATTGAAATCATCAAGTTGATAACTTTCCACAATACCACATCCCAAAAATGTTGAAATAAAACTACGATTAATCATGGAAAGAAATCACAGTTAGTGAACATGGGAAATCTGATTTCCAAAGAAAACTGTTTTAATATTAAAAAAGATCTATAGGTTTTTACCGACACTAACTCTAACTGTTTCAGTCAATGAATGCTGATGTTTCTTGTATGGAAACGACTAATTTGACCATTACCAGAATTCAGCTATAATCTCATTCCAATCATTTTTACCACGTACCTTATTTCCTCACTGGAAGAAAGCCCAGACTTTGAGGATATACTCCAATTTGAACTTATTAAATTACTATTAGTTATAGAAAGAGCTATAACATTTAGTGGCCTTAACAATTCTACTTTCCTGGAAAAAACGCTTTTTATATATATATATATATATATATATATATATATATATATATTAAGCGACAATAACGGTTCGGTCAATGAATACTGAATGGATATGTATGGAAAAGGCTGACTTTACTATTGGCTTTATCTGAAAAAAAATATACGATGAATATTATCCTATCTTGTCTTAGATTTTGCAGGCGTGACAATTCTGAAAGTTTTCAATGAGAGCTTAACCTGCCTCCATAGAAATCAAGGAAGACACAAGAAGATTCATGATCTTGGTTAGATATCGTTGCAATCGTTGATATTTTGGTTAGGATTTTCTAAAGAAATTTATTAAGGCCTTCATTCATTCTAATAATTGACTCCATAGAAACGCCCCATTAAATAAAAGCGTATATATATATATATATATATATATATATATATATATATATATATATATGTGTGGGGGACGTGTGTGCGTGTGTGTGTCTGTGTGTGTTTGGTTTGTTTTGTTTTACGGAATATCAACCTCAATGGGTTATTTAATGCCGACAAATAATTTATTGGTGGTAATATGTTGTTCTTCAAAATCTATTTCTGGTAATATTTTTCCTTGAAGAAATTTATAGTTGGCTATATTTTTTTCAAAGAATGTATAGCCGTCTGTATTGCTTATATTATTTTTAAAGTATTGCTGATAACAATTTTTCCTTCAAAAATTCATTGCTGTTAATAATTTTTTATTACAGAGTATTTCTGATATTAAAACTTATTTTTACACAAGTTTGGGCGTTAACTATTTGCCCACAGCTGGGACTCTACCACCCCAGATCAGGGTGGACCTGGGAACACCAGCAATTAAGAGGTGGTTCAACGCTCCTCAAAACCTCCTGAACAGAGGCCTTGCTGTTGGACGTAGTTTATCGTCATACCCAGGACGTGTGTGTGTGTGTGCGTATGTAAGTAGGTAGGTAGACATATATTATGATGGATTTTCAGTATGTTTATTTGGTATCGAATTTTTTCATCCATTACAAAGCCAGTGAGCCACCCAAGACGGAGGATTATTAAATAGGGCTGTATGGACGTAAAACATCAGATAAGTGTAGATTATTAGCTTATAGAGGCTAGAGTTGAAGTTGAAAGTTCTCCACTGCCTTAACTAGGTATTGAACTCACCTTCTTCAGAAGTTCATACCCTGATCTCCTCAAGGACACATGGCACAGTGGATAAAGGCGTTGGTTATATACAGTGACAGACCCAAAGATGGTGAGTTCAATTCCTGGTTAAGGCAGTGGAGAACTTTCAGAGGGAAAATTAGCAGGAGATAACTGATAACTGACATCCATCAAACATGGCACGTGGAACTAGAACAGTCTACCCCAGTGATCGAAATAAAGGGTTCAGTTCGAAATTCCAACCACCTGAAGAAGGCCGGAGCGTACAACGGCCGAAACGTTGTGACAAATATGGCGACAAAGATGAGGACAATAGTCCGACTAATGTAAATACTGAAACAGGATTATTCTCTATTAAATATCCATGATGACTAATATCATTATGAAAAACTAATGATTTCATATCTTGCTCACTCTTGTCGAAGGAAGCCCGCCCTGATTGACCATGTCTTCATGGGTGTAGCCGTACTCACCACGCTTGGCCAATTTCGGGATGAAAACTCACTAGAATATATCCAGAAACTTCCCTCTCCTTGGATGGACCCGTTCCTGATTGACCATTTCTTCATAGGTACAGCCGTGCTCACCACGCTTGGCCAATTCCAGTGCGGTGAGTGTATAGGAATTAAGCATTTTTGTTGGGATCTTTCTGTTGAATTATTTCGGATAAAATGAGGTGTTGCGTGATAAAAATAACATGATTAAAACGGTTTTTCTAGTAAATTATTAAGAAAAAAAAATTAATATCTCCGTGTTCAATCATCGAATCTCGATGGGTTTCCCACCGTAATTGTATTAATAGTAAGATTAATAGCTTCATGTTCCTCCAGATTAATGATAACAATGTAAATTTAATTAAATTTTGTATTTGATTTATGGTTATAAATCAGAAAATTGAAATCACCGATCAATGTTGGAGTGTGTTTTTTTCCCCTTTTCTTTCGTTTGCTTATTTTTACTGAAGAGGAGGAGGTCTTTGATGCAACTGAGAATATCGTCAACCAAAAATGGCTTCTGATATTTTATTTCGTTCGTAACAGGGGAATGAAAAATTCGATCCTCCTTGGAGTAGAAATTGTCTCTTTTATTGATTATATGTCAAGGTTTCTCACGCACATTGAGTCTCTCAGGTTAGACAACGCATCTTCACCAAAAACGGAGAAAAAAAAAGAAAAAAAAAAGAAATCCCACAACATCTTTCCCCATTCAGCTATATCTGTTCTCTCACTTAGAAAATACAGAAGAAAATGGCGGCTCAGTTATATACGATGTCGGCTATTTTGTTTTTTAGGGCGCCATCTTTTATTTTCATTGATCTATTCTGATTTATATCTTCTTTATGATTTTTATATTATTTTTATGATATAAACTCCGGAATTATTCACCTGACTGTCGCATAGTTGGCTCCCAAGCCGGCCTTTGATATTTTAATCCATTTCCCAAGTGATTTACTATATAAAGTCTGAAATTAGACTGTTTCCGCATTTCATAACAAAGCTATGATCTCTACCTATATATATGAGATTTGGGTCGCCTCGAGGCTGTAATAATGGCGAGAAAGTTTGTCTCGCCAGAACAATTACGACTGAGTATTGAGTTCGATCCTCACTACATTCGGCCTTGTGCCACATCTAAGCTACGCTTAGAAAATCACTATATTTCTGAGATAAGTTATTGGAATTATTTACACTATTTATTGATATGTCCCGGAAAAGGATATATTTGAACGAAGTACCTAAGTGGTTTTGGCTACTATAAGCAAATAGAATACGGTAGGAGTAATCGACTGGTAAACGTCGTAGTCGCAGGTAAGAAGTGTAGATCAATGGCGTAGTCCAATGGGCGTCGTTACAGACTTAGCTCTCAGACTAAGGATCTGACTCTCCTACACGTCCGTCGATATTTATGATGGACACCAGCCAATCATATTCCAGTGAGGGGGAACACAGAGCAAGATTTTCTTCGGCCTTCTACAGCTGATTGGAATTTCGAACTGAATTGTTCTTGTTCCACGTGACATGCCCCTTCCAGATGTCTCAGTTATCTCCCTTTAACTCAACTCTTCATGTTATTGTTTACCAACGCAGTAGCCAGGTATTGAACTCACATAATTTTGGGTCAAATCACTGGATCCAACCAATGTTTTTATCCACTGGTCAATGTGTCCTTGGTCAATGTGTCCTTGAGGACAAAACGTCATGAATATAACAATAAAGATGAAATGAAATATCGTGAATATGACAACAAAGATGAGGACAACAATCCGAACAATATAAATGATATAATGGAATATGCGTACACCTGTGTTCCCCCTCACTGGAATATAATTGGCTGGTGTTATAACGTTCTCGCTCGTTTCCCTTATTTATACCAGTGCTTGGAAGGCGAGTGCGTAGCGTGTGGTGGTCTCACCACACCACAGCATTTCCAGCAATGATCATGTCGTGTGCAGCAGTTTTTGACCAAGGACAACATTGCATAATTCTAACAACTACCATGTTTCCTAAATCTCACGCCTTCTCACTTTTTTCTCTTTTCAAAAAAGCAAATCAGTTTGAAATGCACTTTAATTCTATACGTCGAAGGAATATACAATATATGAGAACGTGACGAGTCAAGTTTCAAAAGAGGAGTTTCATGCTTCCCTCAATGGAAACGACAATGGATAAACTGTGTGGCTCCAGAAGGGGACTTCTTGGAATGAGATTACATGCCGAATTGATATGTGATGTAGTTTTCTTGCTATATATCTTCCTGATATTTTTAATCTGCAATCGTTTATGACGAAAAGAAATGAAAAATCAAGAGCTTAAAAGAAAAGGAAGAATAGAAAATATAATAGAACG